CAGCAGCAGGAGGTGGCGAAGGGAGCGCCAACGCGGCAGCAGCGATGGCAACGACGGCACTGTAGGAGTTGCCGGCGTCAGCGGCGGTGGCGCAGCGCGGAACGGTCGCATCGACGCCAACAACGCGGATACCCGCGGCTCGCTTTCCGCGAACGCACCAGCGCCTTCCACGGGGCCCTGTTCTCCGGCACCATTAGAAGCAGAAGAAGTTGTTCATGGCGATGCTGCTACTGCTGTTACCGCCGCCGACGCTGCTCTGGCTGCCTCCCCCAGACATGCAACAGCTGCTGTCACCGCCACAGCTACTCCGGCTGATCCTGAGCTACCGGGAGCAAACGGTGACGGTGAGAAGGCGGAGGAGGGCGAGGAGGGGGGGTTGGACACCTTGGTATCGTTGAAGAGTGCGATTGTGGTGGCGATAAATTTGCTTTCGTGTTGCCTCTCTCTGTGTTGCATTTCAAGCATCAGCAGACTTGAGGAGAAGTTTCCCCTCCCCNCCCCCCCCCCCCCCCCCCGGAAGAAGTGCAGGTTGGGCACTCCATGCTCCGCAAGAGCAAGCTCAACTACACGCGTGTATAACGAACAACCAGAGAACAGGGTCTGAATATCAAGACGGAACACCCCTTGCGCACGTTTCTTCAAACAGATGTAGCAGCAGAAGAAGAAGCGTCAGCAGCGGCGAATGCGGCGGCCGAGGAGGACGACCCGGCCAGGGCTTGCGACACGGGAGAGTGGTCGACGGGTCAAGCGTGCATCGTGTGCTTCAGCGACTACGAGCCCGGAGACCGGTTGGCCCGCCTGCCGTGCCGGCACGTATACCACGCGCAGGTATATATCATTCATCTGCGTCGGCGGTGTATGTATGTATTATTTGCATTCACCGCGCAAACCGGCTGACCAATGAAAAAACGCCAGTCTCAGTGGGATTGAAATGTGTGTATCTGTGTTTGTGTGTGTTTGTCTTAACGCTAATACTTGGTGTAATTTCTAGATCCAAGTAGTCGAATACGGCGGGGATTGCGCGAGGCGATCCAAGGTCGTTTTTCGAACCGCACGGACTTGCTGTTGTCGTGGGTGTCGGGGGGAGGGGGCACGCGACAGTCAGTCGGCGGTGTTAAGTGGCAATCTCGAGATGTATCTTTGTGTGGATCAAGTATGCAATCGGTTGGGGGGGCAGCGGGGTGACTCTAATGACAGTAGTACCGCAAATATGTGCAAGTTTGTGTACAGTTTGTATTGCGAAATCTATCATTAGCTCTATCCCTACATCTAAGCAGTTCCCGTGACAGATTTTGTACGACAGCGTGGTGTGCACGCTTTCGGCGGGAGGAAAGCGCCAAGAACGTTTACACATGAACCCACTCTCCGGGCACCAAGCTGAACCCTCCCTCCTTCCCGCCGCCCCTCCCAACCCTTCGTTTTACCCCCGGGCATCTAAAATCCAACCCAATGGCCATCATCAGTGCATCGACGAGTGGTTGGACCGGGCTAAACTCCCTAGCTGTCCGCTGTGCAAGACGGACCTCCGCCATGCCACGCCCCCCGATGATCGTTCTAGGAGCATCTCTACTGTTGGTGGGGCCGGTACAAGTGTCAATGCTGCCAGAGTTGGAGGAGGCAGCGGTGGCGGGGAGGGGGTCGAGTTCACGGGCGACAACGCCGTGTAAAAAGCAAAATCGGTGGTGTTCTTTTTGTCTGTTCGATTTCGGTGGGATGAACAAGGGGTCATGTGTGTGTATACGTGCTTGACCAGCATGAAATGGCGGTGCGAAACGTTTTGAGTATGCATCCTTGCTTCGCAGGTGTAGTGGGAGTGCATGAAATCTACATATCAGTATGTGGCAGCGTTGGGAGTATCGTCTACAGTGCAACAAAGAATAGAAGATAGACGACGCAGTTCTCGGCGAGGTCGTAGCTTCCGCCCACAACAGCTCGAATGGAAGAAGGGCTACGAGTATTGTCGACATGTCGACTGTAGAGGTCATGGGAGATGTTGGCAAGGCTGGCACGGGGCCGGGGGGGGAAAGANGGGGGGGGGGGGGGGGGGGGGGGGGGGGGGGGGGGGGGGGGGGGGGGTTCAACCCCGGGAAAAAGTAGGCCCTGAATCTCTCGATGGTGTTGAACTATGATGTTTTGGAGAGGGGGGAGAAGAGGAGCAAGACGGCACCAACAATCTTTGTTTCGGTAAACCGCATCCGGTCGGTTGTTGCTCTCGCATGGCAGTTACCCCACATGGCGGGTGCGGCCTTTTAGATCTAGGTTCTAGATGTTTACAAGTTGGGCCTCTTTGTTATACGGTACAACAGTGTACCTGTGTGTGTGAGGTTTGGGGGACGGGGACGGGGGGAGGAGCTGGTCGTGGAGCACGGGTGGGGTACATTAAGNGGGGGGGGGGGGGGGGGGGGGGGGGGGGGGGGGGGGGGGGGGGGGGGGGGGGTGGCGATGCACCCCCGTGGGTGTTGCTTTAGTCCGGGGTGGAAGAGGACGAGGAAAAGGATTGGAGGGATGCATTCATTCGCGGCCCCAGTCGGTCGGTCGAAACGAAAAACAACTACCGATGGAGTATCGCAGCGCGACCAGCGCAGCGGTACAAAACGCCATTACTTTGGGCTGAACGTTTCTTTCTACCCGGTCCGTTGCAGCGACTATTTTGTATTACTCTAGTTTTGAAAATATCGTTGTGATGTGGCCGGGACTATTCACTCAACGAGGGCAGGCAGCGCGGCAAGGGGTGAAAGCAAGGTGGTACTACGTACATGGCTACATGGATACCCCGTATGGTATGCATAGATGGTTTCCTATTTGCAATATTTTTTTGTGTGTCATGACCTAGTCATGGCCCGGCTGTTGTGCAAGTAGTGGGTTGGATGTGATTTTGTTTGATTGTTGTTGTGTGCGGTTTCAAGGTTGAGAACCTGGATACTCCGAATGCGTAGATGCTTTTCATACTTTCTTTTTTTTTTCATTTGTTTGTGTGTCGTGACCTACATGTATCCTGGTCCGGCTATGGGTTGGAAGAGAGAGCGGATCTTTGTTTGATTGATTTCTTGATCCGTGTTTCAAGTGTGAAGAACCTGTACCGTTCTTTGTGTTATTGTTCCCTTGGTGTCTTGAAGGCGCTCCGGAAGGTTGCGTTGAGCTCCCATCGCCCTGTGCGAGCACTCAAGAAACAACCTAAAAGGTGATTGTGGCTTGTGCGCTCACCCAACGGGGACGGATTGTTTGTGGGGGATAAGTTTGAGTCGACGATGTTCTTTGAGTCTATGGTAGAGGAACGCGTAGAATCGCGATCACGCGGATTGATTGCCGTTTGAGGCCTTCACATCAACATAGACATAGATAGGTGCAAAAACGTTTCGTTCGCTGCTTCTGCCGTTCCGGCTGTCCGTCTGCGTTGTGGTTTCCAGTCGCAAAATTCAGGTCACCTTGCACTGGCGGCCTGGGAAAGGGTGGATACAAAAAGCTAATGGAGTGCTGCTGCGGTACATACGTCAGCCAGTGTTGCGATCTATGTATTGTGCGCTTGTGTACGACACCGAAAAAAACAACGAAATAATGGGTGATTCGTGTTTGGCACCACGGGCGGGTACTACAGTAGTTCAGCGGTGAGGTTTTGGGTTGCATCAATAGTGTTGTTCGGCGGTAGTTTGTTTGCAGTTGTTCTCACTTGGCTGCAGCACACGCATGAAACATCGGAAGAACATCGACGTAGGCGTATCTTCAGGTGTACTTGTGCGGTAGTGATAGATTCGCATAGCAACAATGTTTTTTTTCTTGAAGGAAACGGTGGCAGTGTTCGTCAAATTTGTCGTTGGTATCTCTGTACTGCGGAGTCATCGTGATTGTCGGTCGATATTTGTGTCTAGATATAGACTGCGGCATGGAGGAGAATGAAGAAAATATCGATGCTGCTATAGTCAGGGTTATTGATGATGTTGAAGGCTTCCGACTGACCATGGCACGCTTGAGCCTGCAGCTTTGAGGGCATCGCTATGCTTGTTCTGCTGTACATTGAAACATGTACTCATGTATTTCGTGCTTTCGGCGGTTTCCCTCTAGCCACATTTTTCAAATCAGGTTCCTTCCGTAGTATAAATGCGCCCCATATACGACTGCCGGAGGCCCCGCGGACTATAGAAAGCCGTACCTGGTACATCAAAGCGTAAAGTCGACGCCAAAACATGGGAATTGAATTGCGCACTAACAGATAGACTTCTTCTGGAATTCCCTGGCAATACCACGAGCTCAAGAACCAACCCCTCAAGTAAGTTTCGGCGAAAGAACATAAAAGCAGCAAGGAACAACCTTTTTATATTTGGCCATATGGTCGAAAATTGGCTCGTGTTGCCACGCGCTACACTGTGCTGTCGGACGGTAACCCGTTGTGTAGAGAGGGGGCATGAAGGCAAACAGGCGTACCGTCGACCGAAGAGAAAATTGTAATGTAACACACAAATGTGCACAAACCCTCGAGACCAATTCTTCAATTTTCAAAGCCCGATTTCTCTGCTGCAGCACAAACAGCGTATTGCCGTAGACTACATCGCGGCGCAGAAAACATCTCGTCGGGAGTCTTCGACACTACACCTATGTGAAGATGACAGCATCCACTTCGTCGTGGTGTAACCGAGCTTTGAACTCGGTCCAGGGAAGGCGTCGTGTCTTTCGGAGTCTGCTGTACAGAACGCGCCACCGACCAGAAGGAACATAGCAGCAGTGAAGAACTTGAGCCTCAAATAATCCAAAATCTAAGAACTCGGCCATAACAGGTGCTCAGTTCCGACCTGGAACTATATATATGAACAAGAACCCGCCGTTGTGTTGTACCAATGAACCTACAGTTAAGAATGAAGCCCCAAAGCACGGCAGCTGCAAGACAAACACTCAACATGGTGGAGGGTGACCCCAACACCAGCAGTTCTTTCAGAATCGGGGCGGGGGTGGGGCGCACCGCATGAAATAAGGGGGGAAGGGAAGGGGCGTACTCGTGTTTTGCGTGCCATTGCAGTGGTCAGACCATTGACCACGCGTCTCTACAGGACGATGCCGCATTGTGTTCCCACAAGGCCGATCAAGTATGGCGGACAATCGTTCCTTCCTACTTCGCCAAAGGTGGCTCAATGGCACTGTCCCTTAGTCTATTATCCTATTTGTCGATATCACTACCCACCTTTGAACCCACTTTCTACGCCCCGAAACAGCTCCTGGCTGGCCCATGCCTCAAACATCTACTATTACCTGTACATTCTTTCTATGTACTTTTCCGAGCTCGGACAGGTATATTTCTCTCTCCTTGTCGTACAACGGGCATTCCGCAGCTTCGTTCACATTATTGTTTTGCATGCCTTAGCGGTTAGACCATTGACCACGCGTCCTCGAGAGGACGGGGCATCGTTACCCCAGGACCGATCACCGATGGCTACTCGTTCCTTCCTACTTTGCCAAAAGTGGTTCAAAAATGTTCCCAGTCTATCTGTCCTATCGGTATCACTTCCCGCCTTGTCAATGCACTCCTCATGCCCCAGTACAGCTACCGTCTTCTCCTGGCCATCCCATGCCTCAAACATCTCCATGTATCTTCCTTTTACTTTCCCATCGCAGTCATGTACAATCCCCTCGCCTTCTTGTACAACGGACATTCCGCAACTACATGAACGAATACGGTCTTCGCACTCGGAGGCGCAATCAATCACATTTGAACCTGTCTTCATCGTTTACCTTCCGAAATTTTCAGGTACTTTCTCGGGCGTGTTGGTGCCTTTATTGTTAGTATCGACAGCGCTAACCGGCTGACCACTGAAAAGACGTCAGTGTCAGTTCGGTTGAAAACACAAAAAAACACATCTGAATGCCAATAATTGGGACCCCGTGAGGAGGCGGCATGGGGGAGGCAAAGCTTTTCTCCGGATTAATTACGTGTGTGTCTTTAGCATTAGCATCAACCGTGCTAGCAAGTGTGTGTGATACTACTGTTATACTCTGGCTCTAAACCGAGGATAATTTAACGGAAGTTTGGATTGGATGAGGCATCCTGCACCGAACCGTCGTCCCGCCCCCCATCCTTACCGCAACAGGTTCTCACTTGACCCAGCGAGACGTGATTTTCACCCTAACTTCCTCCATCCGTCACGATAGCAACTCCTGCAGTCCCGCACATACATCCGGCAAGTTGTTGTTGGCACGTCGGGGGCAGGGACGGGCAGAGCACTAGCGTCATCATAGATCTGCCCGCCAACACGACAGCTCACTAGCGTTCGGAGCGAAAGGAAGGAGTGACTCCTTCACGCCTACAAATCCCAAGATATCCGATAAGATCCGTGGATCAAGTATTATTGCTCCAAAGTTGGGTCCATCAGGTCTGAACGGACTTTTAATGCTGCTGATGTTAACCACACGCTGTTGTACTCTCAGTGTCGCGTTGAAATCCATCCAGAAAGACCTGTGTGTTCTGCATGGGGCAATCGGCGTAGAAACAAGAACTAGACCCCGTTTATCCTATGCGCTTGTTACTGAAAAGTTGCTGAACAAGAACATGGGCTCGGTTAGAGGCAACCAACAAGCGTCAAGCCTCACGCAAAGTAAGTGAGTCACAATTGGTGGCGCGTCCTGTATCCGTCCGTGATGATATCGATCCCTTTTGTCAAAGTTTTAAATCTTGGGTGGTTTGTAGATGCCACGCGTGGATCCGATCATGGCGACGCATGCTTACATATGCATCAGCACGACGAGTTGGTACTACGCTCACACACCTCTGGTCAATGTTTTTCGAAGGCAGCAGCATCCGTTTTGTTGGCAACACCTCCTCGGACCCAAGGAAAGATTTTGGTTTGCTCAAGAATTTTGTATTCCGTGACAAATGTTCGTTATTCTCCTGTGACACGGGCCCCTTGTCATCCGCCTAGGATCTGGAATTGCGTCGTGATCACTCCCCCCTCCTTACATCATGTGTTACAGAATAGGTACCCGCGAACCGTCTGGCTCTGGATCTTGTGTAGGAAACAACGACGGGCCATAAGTGCAGACA